GGAACCTTTTTATTGATAATCCCAACTACTTGAGCCCACTCTGGGCAATTCACCAAAACTCTGTTTCAAAATGAAAGATCACCTGGGCAGCGTGGGGCAGCCTGTGACCCCAGCAGCTCCGAGGGGAGGCCGGATCACAGCCAGCCTCAGCAATGGCGAGGCCCTAAGCTCCTCAGTGGGACCCTGTCTCTAAATAAAACACAAAAGAGGGCTGGGGTGTGGCTCAGTGGTCCAGGGCCCCTGAGCTCAATCCCAATGCCCCCGCCCCCACAAAAAAAGGGCTAATGAGAAACAGATGTGACTCCATTTTTGAGAAACCAGCCTCTACCTCAGAGCAAGGCCTGTCCTAAGGAAGGGGGCGTGACCCTTGTCCTGGGAAAGACCCACAGAGCACTCCTAGACGCGGAGCGGACCCTGATGCGTTGACATCTGAGGCGCCAGGTGGCCAGGTGTCCCTGACTCAGTCAGGCTAGGTGAGGGCCCATAGCAACCCCCTAGCAACCTCCAATCAGCATGAGACAGGGAAATACCTGGGATGCCAGGTGACCCCCAGTAGTTTATGGGGTTGATAACGTGCTGGGAAACCACTCAGTTCAGCACGTACACCCCTCGTGGCTTACACCAGTCAGTTCAAATGAATCCCCCTCTTGTACTAACCAATCACCCCTACCCATCTTGTTCCCGCCAGTGAATGTGCTAATCAATGTTAGCAGTTGTTGTTTGACTTTTCCGCCCCCTGGGACCGCTGCGTTGGGACGCTCCTGGAGGTCTATGGGGTCCCATGAACCTGGCATTACACTGGGAGCTTGGCTCAGCTGTAGAGCACCCCTGAGTTCAGTTCCCAGGATGACAAAACATTTTTTACTTTGGGGGGCACCAGGGATTGAACTCAGGGCCCTCGACCACTGAGCCACACCCCAGCCCTATTTTGTATTTTATTTTAGAGACAGGGTCTCCCTGAGTTGCTTAGTGCCTTGCTTTTGCCAAGGCTGTCTTTGAACTCGTGATCTCCTAACAGCCACTGGGATCAAAGAACACTTTTTATTGCTCACCCTTGGATCTTTTATTTATTTTATGGGGTGATGAGACTGGAACCCAGTGCCTCACGTATGCTAGGTGAGGACTCTACCCCTGAGCCCCAGCCCCAGCCCCTATGCTTACCCTTAGGACAGTATTTTACTTAGAGACAGGGTCTCAGTGAGTTGCTTGGCACCTCACCTTTGCTGAGGCTGGCTTTGAACTCACCATTCTCCTGCCCCAGCCTCCTGAGCTGCTGGGATGACAGGCGTGCCCACCGTGCCCACCGCACCCTGCCAACTGAGCTGTTGTGTTGTTTGGAGAAGGAGTCTTTCTCTGTTTCCCAGGCTGGTCTCGAATTCCTGGGTTCCAGCGATCCTCCTGCCTCAGCCTCCTCCTAGAAGCTGGGTCTCCAGGTGCCACCATGCCCAGCTGGACAACAGAACTGTGCGCTCCCTCTTCCCTGCTGTCCCCTGTGTCCCTCAGCTCTGCCATGCTGTGTCTGAAGCGCCTGATTAGAACACTTAGGAGAGGAAAGGGCTATTGTGGCTCATGGTTTCAGAGGTTGGTCTGTGGGGGCCAAGGCCACTGCTGGGGGAGACAGGAGGTGAGGTAGCGCCAGGAGGAGGAGAACTGCTCCGCTCAGTGGCCAGGCGCAGAGACAGAGAGGGGAAGGGAGGTGCAGGGGGGAGGCACCCTCCAGGGCACCCAGTGACCGCCTGCCTCCCGCCACACCCCACCTGCCCACACCAGTGGGTCCACTCCAACCATGGTGGACTGGTTGGGCCACAACTGAGAGTCCCGTGGGCTCACCTCTGAACACTCCTGCACTAACAGGAGCTTGGGGGCACCTCTAGCGCACCACAGCACCCCTCACAAGCCGTGGAGCATCTTCATTCCCGCGGGGACCTGGACTCTCCCACTCTTTCTCCAAGGAATTGCGGACCCTCTACTCATCTCCCCAGTGGACTCTGCCGCCCCTCATTTCCCCATGAGCACCCCTGGCGCCTGCTCTTTGCCAGGTTCTGAGCTGGTCCTGGACAAATGGGCAGTGCCAACACATGAGGGGAGCCGGGTCCCCTGGGGGGTTCAGGGAAGGCCTCTTACAGCAGGACACCTCTGGGCCCCCCCCCCCCCCCCAGAGCAGCCTCCGGGGCTCCAACTCCTTCTGGACCCACGTCTCTGCCTTCCCACCTGTCACTGCTGAGACTCGGGTCAGTCCTGCACTGTGTGATCCTCAGGCACCCCTCCTGGGAGGGCGACTTGGAAGCCAGATACCCCCAAGTGCAAGCCTCGTTCCCAGCCATGACTCAGGCCTCCAGAAATAGAGCTGAGCCGCTCACATACATAGAAGGATGTATTTTAAGGAACTGACTCATGTGACTGTGTGGGCTGGCAAGTCCCAAGTCTGCAGGGCAGGCTGGGCGTCAGGGAGGAGTGGGTGGCAGCTCACATCCACAGACAGGCAGCGCGGGGGGCAGAACTCCCCTGGGGGGCTCCCGTGTTCATACCACTTTGATTGGAGGGGGCCTGTCCTGTTGGGATGGAGTTTGCTGTGGGGGAGAGAGACTGAGTTTGACTCTGAATAGTGCAACCAGGAAAATTGGGAACTCATACTCTAGGAGCAGAGAGAAGGGGCAGGGAGCGGAAAATTACTAAGAGGAAGCCTCGGCCGTGAGGGGAGTTCTGGCTGGACCCATGGAACCAGGCTCCTGCAGAAGGCACTGCGGGGTGGGGTGTCTCCTGGGGAGTGTGGGGGAGGAATTTGATCAGGAAGATGGATCCCAACAGAGGACAGGTGTTTCTGGCTAAGCTGACTTAGCAGGATTTCTTTTTTTTTTTTTTAAATCCTGGGCTTGACAAGGAAGAATTTGGGAGCCCAAGGTCAAGCTATAAAAGAGGGAGGAGCCTGCCCAAAGTTTGGTAAAGGAGAGAGTCTTCCTCAGGCTAAAGGTAAAATCACAACCGTGGAGAGATCAGCTGGCTGTCTGGGATTCCAGAACCCGGTCACACTTCTTCCCAGGAAGAACAGGAGTGTTCTAATAAGTTGGGTAGAAGAGTCTTTGTTTTTCTGTACCAGGGATTGAACTCAGGGGCCTCCACCACTGAGCCACACTCCAGCCCTGTTTTGTGTTTTATTTACAGACACTGAGTTGCTTAGTGCCCAGCTTTTAGCTGAGGCTGGCTGTGAACTTGTGGTCCTCCTGTCTCAGCCTCCCGAGCGGCTGCCATGCCAGGTGTGGCCACCAAGCCTGGCTTACAGGAGACGGGTTTTATAGGTTGGTAACAGCTGAAAGAAAAGCCAGCAAAGACCCTGTGTGGAAAGGTCACCTCGAGCTATTCTCCTTGTATGCCAGGTACAGTGGCCACATCTGTCATTCTGGGGACTCCTGGAGGGTCCCAAGTTCAAGGCCAGCCTGGGAAACTTAGACCCGGTCTCAAAATAAAAAAATGAATTGCACTTTGAATATCTCACTTCTCTAGGATGTAGCTCAGTGGTAAAGTGCCCCTGGGTTCAATTTCCAGTACCAAAAAAGAAAAATAGAAAAAAAAAAAAAGTTGACATAGGTTGCTGGGGTTCATTTTACGTGTGAGTGCTGCTGGGGACTGAACCAGGTGCTCTACCACTGAGCTACAACCCAGCCCTTTCTATCTGGGGACAGGGTCTGGCTCAGTTGCCCAGAGTGGCCTGCAACTTGCTGCCTCCTGCCTCAGGCTTCCTGGGTGCGGCCACCACACCTGGTTTTGCAGATAACTCTTATTAGATTAGGCCTAAGGCAGAAGGACTTCAGGGTTGTGCTCACCGAAACCAGGCAGTTGGGGAAATTGAGCTCTTATCTCTTCTCTCCTGATTTCTGGGAAGGTCAGATAACACCTTAGTTTTTGTTTGGCAAAGTGAACTTTAGAGATAGTGATCCATTTTGAGCTTTAACCTGGTCTGTTGGTGCCCAGGGCAGAAGCTTAGTCCAAAACAAGGGCCTCCTACTATCATTTTTTATTTAAGAGGCTTACCTCTTAAAGTCCACTGATTTAAATTAAATATTAATCTCATTAAAATTTAAGATATCTTATTGGGGCTAGGTGTGGCTCAGTGGTGGAGCACTGGCCTAGAACTTGTGAGGTCCTAGGTTCTGCTACAGCACCTCTCACACAAGACAACTTTTAAGGTGACATCTACAATATGCTTGAGCTGGGTGCAGGGGCAAGTCTGTCAGCCCAGCGGCTGTGGAGGCCAAGACTGGAGGATGGCAAGTTAGAGGCCAGCCTCCACAACTTATTGAGGGCCTGTCCCAAAATAAAACAAAAAGGGCAGTGGATGCAGTTCAGTGGTAGCACGCCTCTGGGCTCAGTCCCCAGTTCCCCACAAGAAAAGAAAGTGGAAAGGCATTCATTTTATTCACTGGGCCAGTACTGAGTGTGCAGCAGCTGGTACCCAGAATGATGAATAAGCGGCATTACTGAGGGTGTCTTGTGCTGCAGCTGGGGTGGGCCCCTGCATTCGGGGGTTCCACACTGAAGACGGACTCAAGTTGCAAATTGCGGGATGTGGGGAGGCGGGATTCGAACTCGCCACCCGACAGGGCCTGCCCACAGGATTTCCCGGGGTCCCCGCTTCCGGCCGGCGGGGGCAAGCGAGGGCAGCCGAGGACGTGCAAAGGAGCGTGCGTGCCTGCGTGATCACGTGCGGAAGGGCGAGCCCATGGGGCCGCGCGGGCGCAGGGGTGGTGCGCGCGGCGCGGCGGGCGGGGCGGCATCGGCGCACCGCCTCCTCGCGCCGGCCCCCCCCCCGCGCGCGCGGCGAGTGGTTCCGCCCGGCCCCCGGCTCATTGTGCTCGCCTCACGCCGGCCCAAGATGGCGGCGGCGCTGGAGGCCCCGGGCCTGTGACCACAAAGAGGCAGCCGGGGCCGGACGGGAGCGCGGTGGCGGCGGCCAGGCCCGGGCCGCCCCCCACCCCCGCCCTCGCCGCGCCCGCCCCGCTCCGCCCGCCGCCCTGCGGCGCCCCGCCCTCCCCAACCGCCCGCCTAGCATGGTGCGGCGGCCGCGCGCGCCGACATGGGGGAGAAGCTGGAGCTGAGGCTCAAGTCGCCCGTGGGGGCCGAGCCCGCCGTCTACCCGTGGCCGCTGCCGGTCTACGTGAGTTCGCCGCGGGGCCCCGGGACGCGGGCGGCGGGCCCAGGGCCGCGGCGGGGTCGTCGTCGCCGGCGGCCGTTCCGCCCGCCCCGCGCGGCTGCCGTTGCCCGGTGCCCGCGGGCGGGCGCTGTCAGCCGGCGGGTCCGGGTCGGGAGCCCGTCGGTGGATCCTCGGGCCAGGACCGTGCGGCCTCGGAGCTGGGAGGGCTGTCCCCCTGACCCTGGGGACAGGACAGTGCGACCCCGCGAGCTGGGAGGGTTGTCGCCTCATCTGGGGGTGGGCAGGACTGGAGCTGTCCCGGGAGCTGGGAGGGCTGTCGCCTCATCTGGGGGTGGGCAGGACGGTGCGACCCCGCGAGCTGGGAGGGCTGTCCCCCTGACCCTGGGGACAGGACAGTGCGGCCCCGCGAGCTGGGAGGGCTGTCCCCCTGACCCTGGGGACAGGACAGTGCGGCCCCGCGAGCTGGGAGGGCTGTCGCCTCATCTGGGGGTGGGCAGGACTGGAGCTGTCCTGTGAAGTGGGAGTGCTGTCCCCCGAATTCTAGGGACTCTTAGAATTGTAGGCTGAGTGGAAATTTACAAAGCCTTCTGCCTGGGGTTCCAGAAGTCCAGGGATCCCCCGGGGTCCTCAGCACCTGGTCCTGGGGGTCAGTTTGCATGTGGGTGGAAATTGAAGCAGGCAGGATTGGGGCGCTCTGGGTGCATAGGGCCTGAGAGGCAGGCCTGTAGGGGACCTGGCGCCCTCTCCCCCCCCCCCCACCCCCAGACCTGCTGGGCCGCCCCGGGGCTCCTGACTCCCTGGCCTGTGCCCGGCTTTGGAAGTAGGGTGGCGGCGGCCGTCAGGAGGGAGGCCCGCGCTCTGCCTCTCCTGTTGGGCGGCTGGGTGTGCATCAGGAGGGAGACTCCCACGGTTTTCCTACCAGGCCACAGGAGTTTCGGATTTAACTCCTGTCCCCTCTCTCAGCTCTCTGCAGCGTCGTTCACATTCAGAGTTCAGTTCTGTGAGTTTTGACAGATACGTTGGGCCTCATAACCACTGTCTTGCCCACCCATACCTACCTCCGACTTCCTGGCCCCTAGACTGTTTTTTTTTTTTTTTTTTTTAGAATTTTTTAATATTTATTTTTCAGTTTTCGGCGGACACAACATCTTTGTTGGTATGTGGTGCTGAGGATCGAACCCGGGCCGCATGCACACCAGGCGAGCGCTCTACCGCTTGAGCCACATCCCCGCCCCCCCTAGACTGTTTTGTGATGATGCTTTTGCCTTTTCCATAAAGTCAGATGAATGAACCAACAGTGTGTAGCCCTTTGGCTCTGGTGCTTAAGTCAGCAAAATGTATCTGATCTCCTCCAAGTTGCTTTGGGTGTCAGAGTTATCTCTGCAGTCCTTGTAATTACTGAGATGTGTGGTGTGCTGGGGGTCACGCCCAAGGGCCCTACCAGTGAGCCACACCCCCTGCCCAAGGTGTTTCCTTTCCTGTTTTTTGGTATTGGGAATTGAACCTACGGGTGGTTTACCTCTGAACTACATCCCAGTCCTTTTTCCTTTTTATTTTGAGACAGGTCTAAGTTGCCAAGGCTGGCCTCAAACTTGTGATCCTCCTGCTTCACCCTCCAATGATGCTGAGCTTACTCACATGCACCACTGTACCTGGTTTTATTTTTTAGTTTGAGTCACCTAGGCTAATGGGATCCTCCTACCAGAAATCCAGAGTTGCTGGGATTATAGTTGTGTGCTACCATGCCCATCCAAATCCCATTATAGGTTTCTCCTCCAACCAAATATTTATTTATTTTTCTTGTTGTACTGGGAACTCAGGGCCTCACACATACAAGGCGAGGGCTCTGCCGCTGAACTCATCCCCAGCCTGCAGTTTTTGTTTTTTGTTGCGCCGCATCCCTTGGGTAGAGAGGCCAGTTTTTGTTTATCCTGCAGTCGCAGGACACGGACTCTCTTTCTCTTTTTTCTTGATTAGAGTAAAGGGGCTCTGGACATCAGTGGGCAGGTTTTCACATGAATTGAAGTCTCGCCTTGACTTTGAGGAGGCTTAAGAGCAGGGCTGCTGGGCCTGTGCCAGTGGACGGCCGCCACCCTTCATCCTAAAAGTGGAAAAGGCGGCTGGTGGTGTAGCCCAGTGGGAGAGTACTTGCTTAGTGTATAAGGGGTCCTGGGTTAGAGTCCCAGCACAATAAGTTAAAAATAAAAAAGCTTAGACATCTAGCCAGGCACAGTGGTGTACGCCTATCATTCCAGTGACTCTGGAGGCTGAGGCAGGAGGATTGCAAGTTTGAGACCCTCTCTCAAAATAAAGAATGCTGCAGATGTCGCTCAGTGGTAAATCACCCATGGGTTTAATCCCTGGTGCCAAAAAAGGGTAAGAAAAGCGAAAAGTTCGGAACTCCACTGGAGCCTGACATCAGGGGTTGGGCAGAGTGCTGCTGCCAGGTTCCCCTGTCCTTCTCCCCTGGTTCTAAGGTGGAAGTTCACCCAGAGACAGTGGCTGTGTCCCCACCCTGCGTGGATAAGACCTTCCATTCAGCCGGGCAGGATCTACCTTCACAATGGCAGGCCGGATTCCTGGCCTAGCCCCTTCCCTCCCTGGCCAGGACCTTACTTGACTGAACATCATGGGCCTTTCCCGGCATGGTCGTCTTGCTGCTGACTGAGGGCCGGCAGGTTGCAGGTGGAGGGGTTGGAATCTCCCTGGGCAGACTAGGGAGCAGCAGCTTGTGGAGCTATTTCCCGACTGGGCCAGAGCCCAGAGGTGCACGACCACTGACAGCACATCCCCAGCCCTTGTGTCTTATTGTGGGCCAGGTCTGGGTTGTCCAGGCTGTCTGGAACTGGGGTCTTCCTGCCTCCGCCTCGGGAGTCACTGGGTGGTGGGTGTGTGCAGGGTGCCTGGTTATGGTGCTCCCTTTTAACCTGCCATGTTCCTGTTGAAGAATTTTGCTGTCTCAGAAATGAGTTGCAGTACTTGAAGTGAAAATGGACTATTTCAGAAGCTTAGGTTTGGGGTGGGTCAGAGGGTCAGAGTATTCCTGTGACAGTACATTTGAAATATGGCCTGCAGATGTCCGTGCTTGTTTGTGAAAGCACCTGCAGAACATGCTCAGTGCCCCTACCCAGCACAGAGGACAGGACATGTTCCTCAGTCTCTAGAACCTTACCTAACCAAGGTAGTTCAAATTTTTTTTTTTTTTTTGTAATTGGACACAATACCCTTATTTTATTCACTTACTTCTATGTGGTGCTGAGGATGGAACCCAGGGCTTTGCACTTGCTGGGCGAGGCCTCTGCTGCTCAGCCCCAGCCCCAGGAGTTTGATTGTTGTTGTCATTATTTTGTCCTGGGGATTGAACCCGGGGGTGTTTAACCACTGAGTCCCCTCCCCAGACCTCTTTATTTTCATTTTGAGACAGGGTCTTGCTGAATTGCCAAGTTCAGCCTTGAATTTGGTCCTCCTGCCTTAGCCTCCTCAGTCCCTGGGATGACAGTCACAGCCACCATGTCAGCAAGCAGTTCAGTTATAAAGGAAAAGGTCAGGGCTGGGGCTGGGCTCAGTGGTAGAGCCCTCGCCTGGCACGTGTGAGGCACTGGGTTCCATCCTCAGCACCACATAAAAATAATAAATAAAGGTGTTGTGTCCATTTTCAACTGAAAATTAAAAAAGAAGGAAGAAGGAGCTGGGATTGTGGCTCAGGGGTAGAGCGCTCGCCTAGCACAGGCGGGACCCGGGTTCCATCCTCAGCACCACATGAAAATAAAGGCATTGTGTTGTGTCCATCTACACCTGAAAATAAATAAATAAATTACAAAAAAAAAAGGAGAAGGAAAGAAAAAGGTCAGGAAAATTATAGTGCCACACAGAGAAGATCATCAGAGGTCCCAGAGGGAGGGGCTGCCAGTGGCCCTTGGGGAGGTACAGGGGCTTCTTGGAGGACAGGGCCTCTGGGGGAGGAAGTGGAAACAGCTTCAGCTGTCCTCAGAATGGCCAGTGTCAAACTGGGTCTGCACAGCTGAGCTGGCGGGTGCCACGGGGAGGCGGGCAGTGTTGGTGCTTGCACTGACTCAGGCCTGGGTGCCCTCTCATCACTGACCTGAGAGCTCTTGGTGGCATTCCTAAAGCAGGAAGGCCCTTCTGTGGGGAAGGATAGAGTGGCATTTTTGGTGACTTGCCTGACAGCACAGAAAAAGAACCTGAGGGTTGCTGGGTGGCCTTCCTCTTGGTGACTCATTAGGCTGTGGGCCTTGGAGACAGCCTCCTGACTGAGCGACCCTCTGATGAGTGTGCCGCAGCTGGTGGGTGGCAGAGAGCGTGGGCAGCATGACTCAGGTGTTTTCTGAGGCTGGCCTCTGTGGGTGATTGTCCTGCTTTCTGTGGCGGGGGACTTAGTGGAGAAGGGAAAGAGTGACAAACAGAAGCTGGTGATGTGTTGGTGTGGCGATGCGCTGGCTGTGGTGCTTGGTCACTCAATCCAGGTCACGCTGCCTGCTGTCCTGGTGGGGCCTGGGCGAGCAGGATGGTCCAGGAGCTGGGGATGTGCTAGGGAGGTGGTGTGAGCTACAGGGTCCCTTGAGCCTGGCCTCTGCTGGAAGCTGTTTGTCTGGGAGTGACCATAGGTTGATGCAGGCACACTAGTAGGAAATGGTGATCCCAAGTTCCTCTTGTCCTCCTGCAGCTCAGTCCCAGGTGACTGAGGACACACCCCTCTCCCACCAGGACCTCCCATGGACTACAAAATGCTCCAGGCAGGAGCCATCAGGTCGGGCCCCTTGACTCTGGAAAGGTCAAGCCAGCTGTTCTGGGGTGAGGGTGGGGTGGGGGCTGTGTTGCAGGGGACAGTGATGTCTGGAGACATCCGTGGTTGTCAGATCTGGGGTGGGGGAACCCAGGGATGCTGCTTGATAACCTGTAAGACTCAGGGAGCAGGAGGACCCCGAGTGTCAGTAGTGTGGAGGCTGAGAAAGACTCTGTGCTTCACAGCCTGCATTTCAAGG